CATTCCAACCCCTAAAATGCTATGATTTTATATATTTATTTATATTTATATTTTTATATATATGAAGAGAACTAGGGCAGGAACATCCTTCTCCAAGCAGAAGCAGAAGACCTTTTGTTCTTGATTGTGACTCTACCATATACACTACCAGTGTATATGGTCGAGTCAATATCTCTTATGATACCTGGGATGCAAAAGGAAGCATGAACTGGCTGGCAAATAATTTTAAAAGTTGTGTTCTGTGTTTAGACTTCTATTGTGCTTATCATAGAAAGCAAAGGTTTAGCAATATGGAGATTGAAGTTGGTGAAGCATTGTGAAAAAACCTGTCTTGAAATTTATCTAGCAGTTTCAAAGGTGTTATATTTCCCAAGGCAGTTACCTTTTCATCATCTGGGATTAGTTTTGGCACTTTCTTTTTGTTGAGTTTTAATCTTTCATTGATTTATATAAGTGACATGTTATGGATCATTTTTGTGTGGTGTATCTCATGGCAAATTGTAGAGTTGCTTGGTGTGTATTTCTTCCTTCTTGAAAATGTATCATTTTTTTTTTTTTCCCCAAACTGATCACCATTAGGGTTAGTATTAAATGTAGATAGACATTGCCTTGAATTGAAATTTTTCTTAAAAGTTGATAGCTCTGAAGCCTGGACACACCTTCCAGCCTCAGTTGTTCTGTGATTCCGTGAAATTGGTGTGATCTGGGAATCTCCTTTGAGGAAACTGTTGCCTGTTCCATATTAAATTTTAGACCCTCTTTCTTGAAAGAATTTTTTGTTATCATTATTACTGTTACTGTTTTTTATTTGTGTTGTTGTCCAGCTGGATTAAAAGCCAGGTATGGTGAGTTTTATAATTTCAGTCTTGTCTACTATGTCTAGGGTGTGAAGTCATTCAGAGCAGTCAGTTGAGCTTTAGGAAAAGATGTAGGCATGGACTCAAAGAATCAATTTGCACAAAAAACCTCTGTGTTTCCCTGCAGGTACATACTTACACTATACATGCAGGCAACCTTCTTGGTAAAAAGGAAATACCTGTTTTGTGGATACACCTTGATCTTCACCTACACTTCAAAAGAATGTCATTTATTGCTGAAGCATGAGGAAATCTTTTTTTATACAGCATCCCATATTTGCTTACTCAAACTGCTTGGTATTGCACAGCAAATCCTAAGGAACAGAATGTTCCTCTCTTACAATATATATACCTTATTAATTAATACAAAAACTTCCCATAAAGTGACCTTGCTATGTGCAAAATAGTCTGCTTCTGTGGCAGATTGATTATAGTAGCCCTGCCTTAAATTCTGAAGACATGTTTTGCTTTAGTGTTCATAGGATCTTTATATTGTAACATAAATACAGTATGGGGTTTTTTTCATACACCCTGCAGTATGACACTACTTTGAGTTGTTTAGCTGTATTTATTGCATTGTTTCCATTAATGAATACTTAATACAGCAGCAAGCCCGCATAATTACGCTGCCTTTACTACTGTTAATTAGAATGGTCTTATCTTCAAAGACTTCTAGCAATTCTCCTTCCTTGGTCCAGAATACTTAGAGCAGGTTTCTCGGGCTCAGCCTTTCAGTCTTACTTACTCCATTCTTAACTCACCCTTTCATGGCAAGATGCCTCCTGGCAAAAATGGAGCTTTGTTCAGTTTAATTTTCTCATGCTTGGGATATGCAAGTTAGGAATTTCATAATTTCAACTGAGCATGTAATGAAGTCCTTTTCTTTCGTCACATCAGGCTGATTAATACCATACCACATAAGACATGTCTAGCCAAGTATCTGATAACCAGCAGTGATTCAAAGTACCTAAGACAATGAATAGCAAGACAAGTATCAAGGAAACTTCTTTCTAGGTATTCTCCTGAGCACCAACTCTGAGTCTGCTATGCAATGGGGTTGTTTTTTTGCTGCCTGATACATTAAGCCACTGCATTGTGTTCTTTTGTGGATGGTCAATGTGATTTGGCTAATTGTATTTATGATTTTGTAGATCTTTGTGTTATTGCCTCCTCAGTTTTCTTTAACCAGTTCTTCAGCTAGGATAAATTTCTTGGTTTGCCTTTGGTTAAGAGCCAGCTCATGCTTCCAGTTGCTTCTTTTGCTCTGCCCTGTTACCATGAAATTACTTGGCTCATATGCCTGCACCGATCAGGAGACACAGAAAATTCCTGAGTTCAGTCGACTAAACTGAGCTTTCTGCTTCGACAGGTCAAAATTTCTCGGTAATTTCTGCATGGAGAGGATTTGATACAAACATAAACTCATTTAGGAAAATGTTTGAAATTATAGGGGCAAATAATGTTTGCTTCTGTTTCGATAAGTGACTTTTTAGTAGTTCTTTTTGGGGAAACATCCTTTATTTTCTCTGAGAAAGTAGTATCTCCAGCAGCTCTTGCTTTCTGGGAGCCATTGTCAGTTGGTCAGGTTGAATCTTCTTCCAGGTTGATAAATTTTACATAGAAGGCTGGACAGTTAAGTCCAGCCTTTCTGATGCTTCCTCACCACTCCTTATTCCTTTTCCTGGGTGGTTCTTATTCATGAGTAACTGTGTTTTGAAATTTCTTTGTTATGTAAAAATAAAAATGTCTTCTAAGATTTAGAATACTCATTGCATTGATTAAAAAAGTAAAAGTCAAACCAAACCAACTGCCCTGGGGTCTTAGCTACTGTATATTAGCACAATATGTTTAGTGTTGCTTCCGAACTGCGTGGAGTTCAGATGTGTTTTAGTGTCCATTTTCTTTCAGGCATTTAATTACTGCTTTTATTTCTAGTGCTTTTTAAAAAATAACCTAAAAGATGTTTTAATGTCAGACAAGTTTGGTTTCCCATCTGTAATTTATTGTAGTTTAAACACCCTTAGGACTAGAGGAATTGCTTATTCCAACAACAAATTATTTTCTAGATTTGAACCGTTAATTGTGGAACTAATGATCTAAATTAACAGGAAATAGTACTTGTGCTAATTCAGATACAGCTTAGAGAAAGAAATCTGAAGAGTTAAAACATAGTCACTGATTTGGGGGTTTCTTGGGTGTGTATGAGAATGGATGAATGAATTCCTACGAGTCATGTACCCAATGCAGATTACTGTTGTCTGTCCACCAGCATAGAAGAGTGTTCAGAAAGCATCCAGTGTTCAGAGAGAGCAATAAAGTTTGCAAACCTTCGGTATTAAGTCATAAGGAATATTTGTTTTCATTAAAAACAAATATTTTAGCTGCTTGGAAAGCAACTGGTTATGACAAGCGAGTGGAGATTGTCATGGCTGTATTTGTAACATTCACAGATACTGAATGCATCAGGAAAACAATTCCCAAGCATTCTCAAGCATGTCTGATGATATACTAATAGAAGTATTTCTCCATATGCTGCCTAAAATACAAAAGTTATCCTGTTCTTGTGTGAGTTTTCTGTTGCTGTTTTCTGTTGTTCTGTCTTTGAATCAGTGATGTGGACTCAGCTCTGATAGATTAGGTACCTGAGGCTAGTTAAACCATGGCTTTAGTTTTTACAGTTGTCAAACTATGTGCAGTTTCAGGATGTTTGAATGTGTTCAGCTCTGACAGCTGTGGCAGTTCTGTTCTTTTATTGTGTTTGGCCAACTTTTCTGAAATGCAAATTTAGAGCATTGCAAAAAAATGCATTTTAACCAACTGATTTTTCTGTGCAAGTTACTTTCTGTTCTCTTTTCTGTGTGTGGGAATTACTCCTAAAAGTAATACGTTCTGCTTAAATAATTGAATTCTTGTTTTGAACAGCATCTTCTGTCCTCAAGAAAATACAGAAGAAGCCTTACTGTTACTGCTTATTAGTGAATCTATGGTAGGTAAAATAGAGTGAATGTCCATGTGCTGTATGTGTGTGTGTTTTCCTTGGGTTTTTTTAAAATGAAAATAGAATTTTCTGGGGTTTTTGTCTTGCCTTACTTTCACTTGTCTTTCATTTTCTGTTAGGAAATCAGGCAGTCACTTCGGAAACTCAAGCTGGTTTTCCTCAGCTGACAAGATGAGGTTTGCCAGTATTAGGGAGTTTTTCTCCTTCAGAGTGGCTGTACCTAGCCTCCTTCTAACCGTGGACAGGTGAACACAAAGCCAGGTCTTTCATCTGCCTTCACTTGCCAGTATGAACCACTGTTAGACCAGCTGGTTGCTCTTCAGACAGACTCAAAATCAAAGTTATTTTTGTTGTAAAAAAACAAATCAAAGACAACTAGATGAGCATAATAAGCATCTCCAAAAAGTATACTCCATTGTGCATGAAACTTCAGGCACTCAAATATGTAAATGATTTTTTATGATTGTAACATTCAGTCTTTGCTACGGGATTTTTTTAAAATGTCCTCAATAAGTGATTCCTTTCAATGGCCTACTCGTGCCCTTTATCAACATTCCATGTTTTTCTCTAGTCTGATTTTTCTAGTCAACAGTCAACTGCCATGACTGACGTTCTCATACCGCATCAGTTTTATATTCTCAGATAAAATGAAATGAAAAGCTGAAGTTGGAGGTTTTGCTTGTTTTTTAACTGGAAGGGTGAAACCTCTGCGGTCTCAGGCATCATGCAATCTGTCTCACTGCACATCAATGAGATGTAGACTTTTAAGTTCTATAGGTGATTCAAATGCTTTCATGCTTTGGCATAATTTCTGGTTTGCTACAGTTCAGTAGGACAGAACATTGTAGTGAACGTTGTCCTATTTAAACTATTTTAAAGCGTCAGACATTTACATTGTAGTGCTAACTACTTTCCTCATTCCTAGTGATCTGTCTTGCAATATTCATGGCAGAATCTAGAAATTCTGACTAGATTCTGATTCTCAGAATACACAAAACTAGACTGAGCAAACATTTCCATGTATCATGTGTTGGTTTTACTGCAGTGTATACTCACAGCTGAAAGGTGCCACCTGTGCCTCTGGAATGTGCCTGAGCAGCTTGTGGAGCTGTACAGAATTCTGATGTGAACTGTGGTCACGATGTGAAGTGGAAGCAGTCCCAGTTCTGCGAGATCTGACTACTGATTGCTGTGTTTGCATGTGTAGCTCCTTACATATCAGCATTAAGAAGCCAAAAACCAAATTAAAAGTACTGCCTTGTTAAGTTGCTTTTCAGGTTACTTAGAGTTGTGCCTTTGTGAATTAGATCTGCCTAATTATATCAAATGCTGTCACTCTAGAGCATATAGCCTTAGCAAACTTTCAATTTTTTTTCTTTATAGTAATTATTGCAGGTTATCTCAGGCAAAATAGTTTGTCGCAGAGGAGTATAAAGTCTTCTACTTGATTGACTTACTTCAGCTAAGTCATTTGTTCAGGATAGTTTCGAAGGGAGGAAGGAGGAAGATTGAGCTTAAAACTGTTCTTCGTTACAGACTTACCTTTCTGAGAGTTAAGACCTGTTCTTTCAGCTTCAGTGCATGCTAACTTTCTAGCTGTAGTAGTTGTGAAGTACTACATGATTTATGATTTTGAAACCAGTATTTGGGAAAGAAATAAGAACACTTCTGGAAGATTGAGTAATCATTGGTGTTTTGAGATGGTATTGTGTTATTAGAATAGCATGGTCCTTTCCTTTCAGTGCCTGCGAATTAGTAAAATAAACCCATTAAGGCCAAGTTGGATGTGGCTCTGAGCAACCTGGTCTAGTGGAAGGTGTCCCTGGCAGGGTGGCTGGAACTAGATGATCTTTAAGGTCCCTTCCAACCCAAACTGTTCTCTGATTCTATGATCTGAAGGACTGACATCTTCACATTATAATGCATTTGTGTCGCCACACAAATGTCTGTTGTGGTAGCAGAATCGCAAAATGGTTAAGTTGGAAGGCACTTCCAGAGGTCATTTTGTCCAAACCCCTGCTCAAGCAGGACCACCTGGAGCAAGCTAGGTATCTGTCCAGACATCCTTTGAATATTTCCAAGGAAAGAGACTCCACAACCTCCCTGGGCAGCCTGTGCCAGTGCTCATTCACCCTCACAGTAAAAAAAAGTGATTCCTGATGTTCAGAGGGAACCTCAAGTTTCAGTTTGTGCCCACTGCCTCTGCTCCTGTCACTGGGAACCACTGAAAAGAGCCTGGCTCCTTCTTCTTTGTACCCTCCCTTCAGATATTTCTGTGCATTGATAAGGTTCCCCCCCTGAGCATTCTCTTCAGGCTGAAGAGTCTTAGCTCTCTCAGTGTTTCCTCATATAAGAGATACTCCAGTCCCTTATCCATCCCAGTGGGCACTTGTTGGAATGTCTTCAGTAGCTCCATGTCGCTTGTACCAGGGAGTCCAGAACTGGACCCAGTACTGCAGGTGTGGCCTCACCAGCACTGAACAGCGGGGAAGGATTGCCTCCCTCGACCTGCTGGCAACACACCTGCTTATGCACACTGGGCTATCAATAACCTTCTTTCCAGCTGGGGCACCTTGCTGGCTCCTGTTCAACTTGGTGTCCCTAGGATGTCCATATCCTTTCCTGTCAAGCTGCTTTTGAGCTGGGGGGCCCCTAGCAAGTACTGGTGCCCCAGGTGCAGAACTTTGCACTTCCAGGTCTTTGTTGAAGCTTTTGATGAGATTCCTGTCAGCCCATTCCTCCAGCCTGTGGTCCCTCTGGATGGCAGCACAGCCCTTTGGCATGTCAGTTCCTTCTCCTAGTTCTGTAACATCAGCAAACATGCTCGAGGGTACATCCAGATCATGAACAGGATCAGGCCCAGTATCAGCCTCTGGGGTACACCACTAGTTACTGGCCTCCAGCTAGACTTTGCCTCACTCAGCACCAGTTCCTGGGTTCAGCTTTATGTGTGATTCTTAACCAATGGTAAAATGGCTGAGCATATCCTTTCTTCCACTGTAGCTGAATTTATACTGCTCAAGTGTGTTACAGACTAAAAGTGTGTGTGTTAGGTGTGGCCACCTGACACATTGCAGTTTAACTAATTGTCACTTTACTGTGTCTGAGATTGTGGCAGTTCTGAAATACTGAGCACTTCAGTTTGTACCTCCATTCTGTTTTAAATTATGAAAAATATATAAGATATATTCAGCAATAATAAGATATCCTCTTCTATAATACTGCTTTGGCATTGCCAGCCATTTTCTCCCAAGAAATGCTAGTTCATAGCTTGTTCTGTACTTGCAAGGAGTTGAGTCAAATAGTGATTAAATGTGGAGATAAAAAAGAAGTTCTTGAAGCTGACTAAATATTTATGCAGTGTAGAAAGGAAAAGCCAAAGACTTCTTGATCAAAAGAAAGCAAAATGTCTGTTTTGGGGTATGTGTGCGTGGGTGTGTGTTTTCAAACCAAGCTGTAGATTATTCAGTGGATAATTCCTGAAATGTCTGTTTTAGAGACAAAATTGTCTTATTTTGTGCTCCCTATACCCCTTGAAAAATTTCTGGTATTTAATTATTCTGATTTTAAAGATGTATTTAGTATGTTCAGAGCTTAAAATGTTATCCTGTAAAGCAGAGAAACAATTTATTATCCCTTATTGTGTGTCTTTCCTTTCATCTGAAAAAGGTTTAAATAAGCTGCCCATTAAAACTTAGTGAATTTAACTAAATGTATTAAGGGGGCCATGCCCTGTGTAATTAAAAATAAAGACAAGGAGGCATGAGGAAACAGAAGGATCTTTAAGTTCTGGCTTCAAACTACCAGATATACTAGCATTTGTACCAATGGGAATAATAAACACCAGGAAAACTAGGCATAGATAAGATAACAAGATAAGGTGTTTTAAGAGGCTTGATGGTATAGTGGGAGAAGTCTGGCTAGGTCAATATAGGTACTACCTGCTGGGAGACCTGAATTTTATTCTTTGCTCTTTAGCAAGATTTCTCTGTGAACATGGTCAGTTCGTTTAATCCCTTCCAATTTTCTTCCTTCTGAAAAGGAAGAGTTTAATTAAGGAATTAGGTTTGCAATGTGCCTTTCACCAAACAGGACTGAAAGTAGAAAGCCTTACTGCAAACATGGCCTGATTCCAAACCTGTGCTCAGAAACAGGGTCAGGTGTCACTTCTCACTGGTAACTCCTGAAGTGATTGTGGGTTATCCTGGGCAGGTTACCACTCACAAGTGAGAGGATAATGTCATAAAGTTATGAAGAGAAAAGAACTTGATTGCCTTATTTCACAAAAGCTGGAATAGGGGCTTTGAGTATCCTTCAGATATGTTTTGCTGTATAAAAAAAAGAAATTTTAGAAGATGAATATACATTATATTTATAAAAAACCCACCTTATTTGGTTTCTGAGAACTCTTCAATAATTTTAGATACACTGCCCAATTTATATAATTAGAATGAAGTAATTAGAAACAGATCCATGTAGAAACATCAGCCTTGTCACTAATGCTTCTTTCTGTCTACAAATTAGTAGAAGATATTATCTCTCTGTATTATTTGTATCAACTGATGATTGTCAGTGTAAATAAAATGGTAGTTACTTGGGTGAAAATGCAGCTGGAATTGCACTGGCTGACTTTGTTTCTTCCCTCGTGGTGTGTTTCAGGCTAACCGTGACGCTGTGCTGAGCAGAATACCAGAACACAAAAATGATCGGATCATCAGCTTGCAAAGTGCATCTGTAGTCTACGATTTACTTACCATAGCCTTGGGAAGAAGAGGCCAATATGAAATGCTTTCAGAGGTTTGTTGATAATAGTGGATATTGAACTGTGTGATCATTGCTAGTTTCTGTTAGTCATGTTAACTGTGATAGTAATCAAGGGCTAAAGAAATACAGGACACTGTCATTCTGACTACTCTATAAATACGGGAGGTAGTTTCCACCCCAAAATGTTTCCTGTCTGAATTTATCCAAGTGACTTGAGGTGCTCAGGCACAGAAGGAAGGTGTGGTAAATGTTTAATGGCACAGAAATTCACATGATTTTTAGGTGGGGAGGCATGGATCTGCTTAAAAGGGTACACATTAAATGGAGGCAGCAAGAAGGAATGGCAAAAAATAAAAGCTGTTGTGGATATAAAAATGAGAGCTGTAATTACCTGGAAAAAGGATTTGTGGTATTTTATTTCAAAAGAAAACTTTCTTTTACACCTCTTAATTTTTGGGCATGATCTGTAGTCCTCATAGTTTGTAAAATGGTTTTGAAGTTAATAAAAAGGAAATGTATTACTTTTTCAGGTCTGTGGGAAAATGTGTTCTCTATCTCAAATGTCATATGTTTGATTAAGCAACTTACATGTGTTTTGTTAGGTTGTGGCAGCTTTATTTTTCAGGAAATTTTCAAGTATTGTGAACAGTTATATACCTGAGAAACAGCTACAACTCTCTGGGCAGAGCAGATCTTTCTGCTGCTGAAGCATTGCTCACCCAGCAGCAGGGAATTGTTGCTGGCCACAGTTAATTATTGGTACCCAGGGGTTGACTTGCTGAGAAACAGTTTCTCTCTACCATAATAGAGGGCTTCTATTACGATAAAAGTGAAAACAGCACTCTTATTCTTTTGTATATATTGATAGTCACTCTTTAATCTGCATATCCTGTGGTGTTCTCAGTGTAGGAAGAGAGTGTGTACCATTCTCCTTTCCATTTAAAACCTATCTCGTGCCTTTTAGAAGGGTACTGTCAGTAACCTGGTATATATCATTCCTTCTTTCAGACTACATAATACAGTATCAGCAGAAGTATTTAAACAAACATCATAAATGGGAAATCACTTCTCTCTTCAATTCTTTGTTTCCCATATGACTCTGGCAGCTGTTTTTGCCTATTTGAATTATGTGAATTTTCAATTACATATATGTTAGATATGAGTCAGTACAAAAATCTTTTACTAGTATATCTTCATAATTGAAGAATATGCCCTTAAATAACAATTTTCCTCCCAAATTAGTGTTTAGAAAGAGCCATGAAGTTTGCATTTGAAGAGTTTCATCTCTGGTATCAGTTCGCGTTGTCCTTGATGGCAGCAGGAAAAGTAAGTCTGAAATTTCTGATTTACTTCTTGTATTGGTGGCATTTGATAACACCAGTTGACACTTCCCTAATTGTAGTATTTGTGAAAATAATTCTCATCCTTAAATCAGCTAAGTACACTGTACTCCTGAGTTTATGCCTAGTGCTGTACAAAGAACGTTGTTATTTCAACAGTTTCTAACTTAGGAAGGCCTAAAGGTGATGGTAACAAATGTCTTGTCAGCCAGCTGAAGATATGCTGATTGAATGGAAGTAGTGAATTACAAAACTCGTAAAACCTGTTTAAGTGTGGTTTTGATGAATGGATTTTCTGCTTAGGTACAAATTAATGCTGATTCCTGATGTTCCTGTCATTTTTTTCCTTTGTAAATTTCTGACTTTGAGGCATTCTTTGCAACTGATGTTTTTTTAAATAATTGTATATAACCTAGGAACTTACATACAACCCTCTATTTTCAGTTCTTTTTTGCTTTTTCCTTGTCATGTTACACAAACTAAATCGCATTCATTATGTAACATAAACAACTAAGTTTATAAAAGATCATTCTTAATGGGAGTAATTTGCTTATCTTCAGTATGGGGGAAGGAAATGTATTTTCCTTAGATAATATTTTAGGCAGCACATTGGTTCTGAAAAGGGTTGGTTCTTCTTCCCATTCTCTCTTTACTTTGAGTTATGTTCTAAACTGGGATTGGATGAAGGCAAATAAATTTCAAAAAAAGAGTGGTGCCAATCTGTTATACAGTCTTCCCTCAGAGCTGTTCCTATGTGCAGGTGTAACTCCAAAAGAGCACAAAAACTCTGATTGTTCTGAAGACTCTGTTCTGTTCCTGCACTTTCATTTGCCTGGCTCAGATGCTGTGAGCATACAGGCCTAGCAAAGCTTCAAATGCATCTCAGAACTGCATTCTGAATCATGTAACATTGGAATTACCTGCTTGGCAAATGTCTCTGGGGACACTTAATGGTAGTTCAGAGGGGTTAAATAACAACAGCAGTGCCTACAGACTTGTGTTTCACCAGAGTTGTGACAAACTGTCAACAAAATGTGTAGTAACATCTTCACATGAGAAAAATAAAGGACATGATGGAAATAGGAATCTTCTGTCTGTGAAACATATTTATGCTTTTAGTAATGTCAGTGGAAAATGTTTTTAACAGTCTGCTCGAGCTGTGAAAGTCCTGAAGGAATGTATACGTTTGAAACCAGATGATGCAACTATTCCACTCCTTGCTGCTAAGCTTTGTATGGGATCTCTCCACTGGGTAAGCTTCACCACTCAGTTTTTTCAGCAAGAACTATGCTAAAATCTTGGTTTAGGGATGTAGCAAATACTTCTGCACAGAAACCGGATGCACGTGGACATCTCTCAAAATGCAGCACAGATCTGTATATGCACATGTACATCCCCAAGTGGGGAATTTAAAATATTTGGCAGCAATGGTTATGTTTATCCAGGTAGCATATTTTGATACTGATCTAAGACATAGGTTAAGATGTATTAGAAATTAAAACATTGGTTGAAGACAGATTACAAATGCAACTTAGACTTCTGTTTCCTCTGTGCAAGAGGAAAATAACTTTGCACAATAATGAAACAAATCTCTTATAATCAAGAGGCTGTACTGGTGATACCGTGTTTGCAGGCAGCTGGGGTTTATGAATTCATACTAGGGACAGTGTCTTTAAAAAGGTGTGATTTGAGTTGTGTTTTAGGTAACCTTGAAGTTGGTGTATCTGTACAAAACAAATTAAGGTGAAAAGAGATCATCATGTGGTTTTCAAAAACCTGTGTAGTTTTTAGAAGACTATTTATAAATAGGAGGAAAAGAGGAGGGAAAGATCACAATCAGAAACTGAGAAAGTAGTGTAGTAGCAGAAATATGACTTGTTGAGGCTGTCAGAAATAGTCTTAATTAAAGTAGATCCTAGTTCTGTAACTTGTTCCCTATGGATTGAGTCCATATGGAGTAGCTTATTGTACTTAGCATTTACATTTACTGGAATGGATTCAAATGTTATTTTTCTGGATTGTTAAATAGTGTGCTAGCCATGGGTGTGCGGTTAAACCTTGATTTTTTACATGTTTTTCTGTTTATGACTTTGCATACATTCAGTAATACAGTGTTCAAAGCAGAGTTCTGCATGGGTATACTTCTTTTTACAGGGTTAGAGCCATAGTTGGAGCCATAGTTCATGTGATTGATTTTCCTAAAGAAATAGTCCATGAGGCAAGAGCTCTCTTTATAAAATGCAAAGTTGGCAGATGGCATATATGGACCAGAAATACCTTTGTTATTAACATACATAAATAAAAAAGGAAAAAAGACAAAACACATTAAGTGTGTTAGGGGCCAGAGTTTCTCTCAACCATAGCAATGGCTGCTTCAGCTTAAAATCTGTGCTCTTTACTTAGTATTTATTAGAAAAGCTAAGTCTAATGAAAAATTAAATAGTCCTTAAAAGCAATCATGGCTGAGATTTTCACAGACTCAGTGTGCATTATGTACATGTTGTGCCTTCTTCATTTTGCAATGTAAAATTTACGTAGTTTTCGACTTACATGGATGTGTTATAATATTTTCAGTTGGAAGAAGCTGAAAGATTTGCCAAAACAGTTGTTGATCTTGGGGACAAAACATCAGAGTTCAAAGCAAAAGGCTACTTGGCACTGGGATTGACTTACAGTCTTCAGGCTACTGATGGTAAGATAAAAATAAGCCTTCACATTTGGAAATTCCCCTGTTGCCTAAAAAAGGATACCTAGCAGAATGTTAGACTTAAAATTTAAGCTTCTGTGTGCAACCATTTTTTCAGTCAATGTATTAAATCTTCTTCAATTAGCATGTGGAATGAAATCTCTCCATCGTTCATATCACTGATTAAATATATCCTTTTTAGCATCTTTGCGAGGGATGCAAGAGGTCTTGCAGAGAAAGGCTCTTCTTGCATTTCAGAGGTGAGTGGGTGTTGATCTTTTCATTTCGTTCTGAAATATGCAGTGAAAAGCTTTTATTATGTGTTAAAAAGAGAGACTTGTAAAAGATTGTGTAATGACGACTTCACCTCTGGGAGTCTCCCCTCAGGAGTACAGAATGTGTTTCTTTAGCATTTATTTCCATCCTCTTCTGTCAGAATTGTTTTCTAAGGGTTTCCTTTTATTTCATTCTAAGGACAATTGTGTTGCTCTCTAGTATAAAATATTTGCTCAAATATTCTGTTCTGGCCTGCTTATTATGGCAATGTTTTATTAGGTTGCTCTAGAAAATGATTGAGTGGTTTGAATTAAGAGTAATCAATACATGCTAGGTTAGGAGAACTGTTTTGGGAGCAATCATAAAATGATCATAAAATGGTTTGGGTTGGAAGAGACCTTAAAGATCATTTAGTTCCCACCCCCATACCATAGCAGAGACCCCTTCTACTAGACCAGTTTGCTCTAAGGTCCATCCAGCCTGACCTTCAACACTTCCAGGGGTGGGGCGTCCACAGCTTCTCTGAGCAACCTGTTCCAGTGCCTCACCACACTCACAGTGAAGAATTTATTCCTAATCTAGATCTAATTTATTCCTGTTCTAATCTAAACCTGACTTCTTTCAGTTTGTAGCCATTTCCCCTTGTCCTATCTGTATATGCCCTTGTAAAAAGCTCCTTTCCAGTACTGCTGTAGGCCCCTTTAGGTACTGGAAGGTGCTATAAGATCTCCCTGGAGCCTTCTTGTCTGCAGGCTGAACAACCACAGCTCTCTCAGCCTGTCTTCAGAGGGAGGTGCTCCAGCCCTCTGGTAATTTTTGTGGTCCTCCTCTGGACTTGCTCCAACAGGTCCACATCCTTCCTTATGTACAATGCCCCAGGAGACCTTTAGCTGTATAGGTTGAGTGGAACTTCAGTTTTGTAGTGATATGGAGCTTTGAAATATTTGTGCTAACTAGCAGAATATAAATTTATACACAGAAAGTCTTGGGAATGTGTCGATTAATTGGACCTGTTTTCAGTTGATACAACATCCTAGAGACAATGTTTTGTATTTTTAAGTGCATGTTAAGTCATATAGTCACCCTTTCAGCTGGCCTTTCTCAGAATGAGCTTGTACATAGATTTTAGTTCAGTTGTGTTTCAGAGGTTTGACCCATGTGCAGGGTACATGTTTTAAAGACTAGTGAATTGCTGATGTTGCTGTTAGTGATACTGATCATGTGAGTGGCTTGGACTCCTCACAGAATCTTGACTAGAATAGTTTGGTCCTTGAAAAGAACAGAGTTTCAGCATCTCAAAAATCCCATAGCTGCCTTCTAAGAAAAGGGAAAAAGTATGCTTTGACAGGGGTCTGTTCTGCTTGTTATCATGTTTTCACACTTGTGTTCATAAAGAGTCTTGTATCTGATAGATCAGCTGTACTGGAAATTCACTCCAATGTGATTGATAATGTTGCTGTTTCCTTGCCTTGATAGCATAAATATAGGATGCTACTGAAAATTTCTTACCACAGAGAATGTGTTATGCTCAGCATACCAGAGTTGTGCCCACTTTCTCTTCCCACATCTGAAAAATAAACGTTTTCCAGGAGATGGAAGTTGAAATTCTCCATTCATCTCCTACACAATCTATAAAGTAAACATCTTGTACTGGACTCAATATTATGATATGCCAGGCTTTTATGTGGGTTTTTTTAAATCACGTACCTAAAGGACCAATTCCTGAAGAAACAGAGGTCACGAAGAAATGCAGTTATGTTTTGTACCTTTGCCTGTGCCAGATTTCAAGGCTTGCCAGTTTGTGATAGTGGCCGTGGAAGAAGGTGCTTGTTGCTGTCTTCACACAGTACTGAGGGGGTGTTTGTTTCACTAACTTTTCTTTTTAAAATTTTGGAAGACTTTCAGTGCTTTTCCTGTGGTTGGTGTGAATTGAAGTTTCACAGAACTCTCCAAATGGTTGATAGAGAGTAACAGCTTTATTCTTTCACTATCTGAAACTTGAGTCACCGTGCAAGTATTCTTTTAGTTATAATCTCTTATTCTCACTTAGCCTTGTTTAATTTGTGAACTTATATTTAACAAAGGACTGGTCCTGGACCCTGTTAGGGTTTACATGTGACTTTAATTTCCAATTTAGAGGTAAAGTGAACAAAATATGAACCTGAGTCTTAGTTACTTAAACTGCTTTGAAGCATTCTGGGTGTAGTGGCTAAACTAACAGAGCTGTAGAGTTCTTTGGACTTGGGAAGATAGAAATGCATAGGTCAGAAGCAGAAGGTTCTCTTTGTTGTTGTAATGGTTTAAAGGTCAATTTTGTTCCTTCCAGCCAATGGAGATGACTCATTAAATGTTCTGAAGATGATTTTTACACATCCTCTTTCTAATTGAGTCTCCATTAAAAGAATGCAACAAATACAAATAAAAAAATAGTTCCAGGCTTGCTGCCCAGTGTTTACTACACATCCTTTTGGGGTACAGCCATAATTTCTTTTTGTCCTTATGCTCAAGCATCCCCCTGCCAAAAAGCTCTTATCTTGCAGCAGAAAGATTGTGTTACAGGGGAAAATAGTAGAGTGTATTACAAGAACAACTTCTGTGGAATAATAAAATAAACGCGGCTAAGTGTGTGCATTTGACCAAAGCATTAAAAACGAGCAAACAAACAAACTTTTTTTAAAAAAAGTAGTTATTTTTTGTTTTAATAATTGGGGTTAGTTGCAACAGAAGCAGTTAGAAATATTTTGAGAGTGAATAATGAGAAAACCACTGCTGCTATTGGGCAGTTCAATGCTTTTGTCAATGAATGTTCTGTTTACGAAAAGACCATCAGCATAAACTTCATCTGACCTTCACACATAGGTTCAGGGTGAGTTAGGTGTTATGCAGATTTTTAATGTAATACTGTGATAAAGAAACTGTCCAGCATAGATTTCTTTTATATTGCAGCATAACAAGTAAATTCAGCGGGACTGGTCATGAGTAGTGTTCCCTGCTCAGTATCAAGGCCAGACCTGTTTAGAATCTTTATCAATGACCTGGAGAAGCAGGTTGAGTACACCTTCAGTCAGTCTGCAGGTAACACCAAGTTGGGTGGGAGTGTTTATCTGCTGGAGGGTAGGAAGACTCTGCAGAGGGATCTTGTCAGGCTGGACCCATGGGCTGAGGCTAATTGTGTGAGGTTCACCGAGGCCAAGTGCTGCGTCCTGCCAGTGGGTCACAATAACCCCATACAGTGCTACAGGCTCGGGGCAGAGTGGCTGGAAAGCTGCATGATGGAAAAGGACCTCTGTGTGCTGATCAACAGCAGCTGAACATGACCCAGCAGTCTGCCCAGGTGGCCAAGAAGACCAATGGCATCCTGGCCTGGATCAACAATAGAGTGGCCAACAGGACTAGGGAATTGATTGTCCCCCTGTACTCAGCACTGGTGAGGCCATACCTTGAGTATTGTGTCCAGTTCTGGGCCCCTCAGGACAAGAAGGACATTGAGTTGAGGGAGTGGCTGAGGGAGCTGGGGTTGTTTAGCCTGGAAAGAAGAGGAGGCTCGTGGGGGACCTTAACACTCTCTACAACTACCTGGAAGGAGGCTGTAGCCAAGTGGGGGTTGGTCTGTTCTTCCAAGTAACAAGTGACAGGACGAGAGAAAGTGGCCTCAAGTTGCACCAGAGGAGATATAGATTAAGTATTAGGGAAAATTTTTTTTCTGGAGAGAGTTGTCAAGTATTGGAACAGGCTGCCCAGGGAAGTGGTGGAGTCAACATCCCTGGTGACTGATCCATATGGATTAGTGGTGAACATGATGGTGGTACTACATTGATGGTTGGACTTGATGATCTTAGAGTTCTTTTCCAACCTTAATGATTCTATTATAGCTTAGTCTCAAAGCAACTTAAACCCATGAAGTAGCTGGCTTCCTCAGAGGCTTACTGTATTGAACTGAAAATATCCTTAAGCTTTGTGAGTCTGAGAATGAACAAAACTGTGATCTACTGTGCTGCTATTCTTGCTCTTTTGAGTTCTGTGCTTCAGAACCATCCTGCCACATTTGGTGTGATTGTTGGGTACTTCTGGTGCAGATGACATAACTCTTCTCTTTGCAGGCATGTTATTTTGGGGGATTTTTGCTTGGGTTTTGTTTTCCTTTTTCTGTAAGAAAACCTCATTTAATTAATTTTTATTATAAATATCCTTAGGCAATTACATCTAGTGTTTGTTTAGGAGTATAATTTATTTAAAGAACCATTTTGTATTGCTCATTTTTAAGATTTATATTCAAATCACTTCATTATTTTCTAATAAAGTGATGTTTTTAATGGCCTAAAGAGCTTCCTTTAAATCAAGGATGATTGACAAGTGTGAGGAAAGTCACTGGAATGAGCACCACTTATATCAAAATCTGAGCATACGTGTAGTGAAGAGATCTGAGATGTATCTGCATTTGTGGCTATGTCTAACCTGTCTGAGCAGCGGAAAAATTCACTGTTCTCTTTGTTTTTAAGGGCTCACAGTTTGTCTCCAACGGATCATTTGGCAGCATTTTACTTGGCACTGCAGCTTGCCATATCCAGACAGGTTAGTTTTGTTTCAAAAGTGCAGCTTGATGAAGATTAGGATTTGTATCTGTTGATGGATACAGATGAAGATTTCTTCCTTAAAAACTTGGTTTTCCTTGTGCATAGGTGCATATATATGGAAAAAAACCCTGAAATATTCTCTCCAAACAGCTTCAGTCTTATGCACTTCTCCAGATTTCTGCCGCTTCCAGCTCTAGGATCGCAAATAAGACATAAGTAATTCAACTTATTTCAGCATTTATGTTGCTAGATGAAGAGAAAAAAAATGTCAATTTTTACCATGTTTTTACCCATTATGTGTGATCTCTGCTTAGATCCTGGAGAGTGGAACTCTTGAATCTAGACTTTAATGATCTTTACAATGCTTAAATCTCAAGTATGTGCTAAGATCTTTCTGAAGACTTGTAGGAGGTTTGGTTATTCTGAACAAAATAAAAAATAAGTGTTTAAGAAAACTGGAAATCATTTTAATATTGTAAAAGAGATCAGAGCTAAGTTCAACTTGTACAGCTGTTGTGTCTAAGGCATTCTACCATATATCACATGCATTTGGGTAATGTGGAACTGCTTTGTATATATCATGGGAAGCCTTTTCCTATGTCATGTTTATTTTATGAAGTAGTTTTGAGCACAGTCGTTTACATACTCTAGGTGACTACTTTTCATTGCTAATGAGTAGCACAGGCCTTGGACTATGTCACGTTAGAGTGGAATGGATTGTCACTTTAATAGCAGTAAGTATTTTTCAGTAGCAGGCGATGACTCTGTCCTTCTGAATTCCAAAATTCTCATGTTACTTAAGTAAGCTTCCTGGTTTAAACAGTTAAGTGTACTTACTTTGCACAAAAGCACATGCAGGTGAGGGGATAATGAAATGCTACATAGAGAAAAGTTACTGTTGCTGTCTAACTACATTTTTGTTAATGAATTACAATTATTTTCAAAATCGTGTAGGAATGCAACCAATACACAAAAAGAGAATAGCAAGTGAATATTTCAAGGGGCCAAAGGGATCTGTTTTACAGAAACTTGTATCTTACTCTCCAGGGTTAATATATTATTGAATTTTTGCTGTTCACTGTTGAGCATCAGATCCATTTGAAACTTTTGAGTAGTGTGTTACAGGAGTCTCTGTGTGGTATCTGGGGGAATATTTTGAAATTTTTCTAGATGTGCAATGGGCAATACTGCTAATAGTGGTGCTTTCTTTTTCTGCCTTTTTTTTTTTTGTTGTTTTTTAAATCAGATACCAGAAGCTTTGGGTTATGTCCGTCAGGCTCTGCAGCTACAAGGAGATGATGCCAACTCTCTTCATCTCCTTGCACTCTTACTCTCAGCCCAGAAACACTATCATGATGCTCTGAATATCATTGATATGGCCTTGAGTGAATATCCAGAAAATTTTATGTGAGTGAATGTCATGTTTGCTTTCTGTGCTTTCTTTCATATTTATTTTTCTAAGATTCTCATCTCATTCATTTGAAGAGGGGATGGATTTGAAGATTGTTCTGGATTTTTTCCGACAGTCTTCCCTCCTGCCCGTTTAACACAAGTCTGCTTATTAAAGGCTTGTTAAGTAGTGATTAAGGATTTGGGTTGGAAGGGAGGCTAGAGCTGGAGAGCTGATCTTACTTGGTTTTTTACCTACGCTCTGTAGATACTTTCTCCCTGTTGCATGCTTTATAGTATGTTTGTGTCTTATGTTTTTATGCAATATTCCAAGTAGGATAAACAGTACTTTACTATGAGCTAGGATAGATTTATCCCATCCTACTGATAACTCTGTGCATATTATATGGAATCCCTCCTGTAAAATACATCATAACAGAGAATCTCCTCTTTTGCCTGGATAATAACCAGACATCTGAAGTTGGCTGATGGATGACTAAACAAATGAACAGGGAAGAAGCATGTTTGGTAAATGGTCTCTTGAGAAAGAAATCATTTTCTCTTTAGTTTTCATGTTAGCAAAATACATTTGGATTTTGTACTTTTGTAAGGGTTATTTTAAAATTTATCTTCTTATGAAAATCTAATGAAATGCTTTACAGCAAAAGATCTCAGGGACAGCTTCCATTAACTTCCAGTCTTCCACTCTGGTGCTTTACCAGCTGTCACTAAGGTTGTAATCCATAGTATTACAAATGCCCTACATGCTTATTTAGGCAATTTTTTGAAGTATCTCATTCCTAACTTTTAAATGACTGGCCTGTATTATACCAGCATACCAGAGAGATATGATTTCTTTAATAATTATTGGTTTGAAAATACAGATTATAGTGGTCTTCCTTCCTGTTTCTTGACAATTCATGTCTCTTTTTGACTGTCTACATAAGGTACTGTTGCCTTTTTCCTCACAAATCTGACCAGGACCTCTGTTGATACCACATCTCCTCAGAACTTCTGTGGCTCATAGACAGTTCTGTTCAACTGCTTTTGTGGTCTTTTACTGTTCTGCATTTCTAATTTATCCACACACCTGTGGCTTGTCTTGGGTCTTATCAGGGGCTTCTACACATCAATCACAATTTCAGAACTATCTAGCAATTCCTCTCTCAAGCCTGTCTGTGCTTTCCTCAGGACTGAGGGACCTATCAGTAAGTCATGGTTTGAGAGGCAATTGAAGTGTCAGCTACTTAATTTTATACCCTATTATTGTTAAAGGAAAATATGTTCAAAGCACTATGACTGTCATCTTCTGGTTTTGTTTCATCTCCTGCCACTTCGTGGCAATGTAAATAACCTAGATGAAGCTGCTGTATCTCTCAGAGTAATGATAGTCTAGAAGTGTCTCTGAACCTGTAGTTTTGGAACTGCCTACTGTAGTAAAAGAACTCCCTATTGTTCCTATTGTCTCTATTGTAATAAGAGAACAAAGGTTCATTCAGTAAAATGTTTAAAATTACTCTTGTGAGCATTCAAAAGGTATTCATGGGTTTTTCAAATGTGCTTCATGGCCTTTCCAGGCTTGTCTATACTGCAACTCTGGTTAAACATGTAGCCCAAGCTGGTCATTAGAGTACTGATCTTTGTATTCATGTATGTATATATTGTCTGTTAATCGCATGGGTCACAGTAGTGGTTCTAAATTGTTAGTCCTGTTGTATAATGCGAACACTGTGGTGATACAATGTGCTGTGTTACAACCTACTGGTACAGATCAGAGAATCTGAGAGGAATCTCCTGGCAGTAGGGTTTGCCATCAGATGTGGCAACAATTGCTGAAGAATACAAGATGAAACACAGCTATATATCTCTAGAAAGTCTTTTAAAGTCTGGGTTTTAGTGCTGTCAAGTTACCAGAGAAATCAAAAATATGATTGAGATTTCTTGTCTGCTCTCTGCAATTGATAGTGACAGCCAGCCACACACATCTGGTCAATAATATAAATTTGGATTGATTCCTTCATGCAACTGCATTATTTTTGCATGAATTTCTCAGCAAAACCTCAAGTTTACAGTCTGTTCTTGAACACTATCTGGTGCTCCTGACGTGGTTGACAATGTGCATTCGCATATGCATAAAATACAAACCACAAGTGCTTAGTGTATTGCTAAGTCCATTTTCTTATTTTGCAACTCCTATAAACAATATAAGCTCATGGTATTTCCTTGGCTGGGAAGAGATCCTCTTGTCTTGCTCTACGGCTTGCTAATTTTTAAATACACTGGAGCATTTGATTATTCACCTATAGTGCTTTATTGGCTTTTGCAAACACTTCAGATATCTTGATTAGAGGACTGGAGCATCTCCCCTATGAGGACAGGTTGAGGGAGTTGGGGCTGTTCAGCCTGGAGGAGACTGCGTGGAGACCTCAGAGCAACTTTTCAGTATCTGGTGGGCCTATAAGGGAGCCAGAGAGGGACTTTTTGTTAGGAACTGCAATGATAGGACAAGAGGCAATGGATTCAAACTGGAGGAGGGGAAGGTTAGGTTAGATATTAGAAAAAGGTTTTTTATTATAAGGATGATGAGATGCTGGCACAGGTTGCCCAGGGATGTGGTGGCTGCCCTGACCCTGGCAGTGTTCAAGGCCAGGCTGGATGAAGCCTTGAGCAGCCTGATCTAGTGAGGAGCTGTCTCTGCCCAGGGCAGGGAGGGTTGGGACTAGATAATCTGTAAGGTCCATTCCAACCCTTAAATTCTATGATTCTGTGCTTTATCTTTCAGTTACATCTCCAATCCCAGGAAGCTAAAGAGCACAAGAGTTTTCTTGGTATTCTCAGTATTTCTCTTAGAATACATTCCTTCAGCCTTACACAAACTGATGCTTTGGGGGCTTTGTAGCATAATGAATCTCTATACTTGGAAATAGTAAAGTAAAAATAGTGTTTGTGATTTATGTTATTTCTGATTTCTTTCATTGTCATCTGCATACCTCTATATGCTGCAATTGCATTGCTGCACTGGGTCCTGCCCTCTTCACAGCTCTGTGGTCTTCTTGGTTTGCTTTTCTTTAAAAAGAACATACATTTTTAGAAGTTTATAATAGTGTATCTTTGTACAATGCCAGAGGTTGCAAAGCAGTCATAGGATACACACTGTGAGTCATGCTGAGAAGTGTGTACTTTCCAGCACTCTTGTGTTGTAATCAGTTAGTAAATATGTTGCCTGTCAGTGTTTTTGCATTTGAAAACCTGATGCATTCCTAGAATTCAATATTTGAGGCATACAGCAAGTTATGTTTACATAAGTTGCTGTTAAGTTCTTAACAGCAAGTTAAGTTCACATCTTAAATGGGTGCTAACCTTCCTGCACTGTAAAGCTAGATTGTTGTCCAGACAGGTAATGATTTTGCCCTGGACACCAATAGGCCGGTAAGTAGAAAGAAATTCCTCAGAAGCGAAGAATTCTGTCCCATCATTATCTAAAGGAGTGGAATGGATGAGCAAACACATTGGGCTGTTAGCAGCAAGGTATAGCGTTTCTTTGAATTGAGAGCTAATTGCTTCTCCTTTATTCATTATGTTGGCAGCATAAATATGCAATCTGCTCTGAGACCGTGAGAGGTATTGGAGAAACTATCTAAGAAACCTCTAAAAGTGAAATAGATACGTAGTAATGTTTTTCAGAGATACTAAAGGTGCAAGATAATTGCATTACTGGTTCAAACCTTTTGCAAGCTTACATTGCTAGGTTGTAGCCACTCTACTTCTAAACAGCTTAGCTGTGTTTTTCAGAGCAGTAAGATCAATCTGCTTTTCAATGCTGTCTAATCTCTGAAGCCTCCTGAAATTCAAGCATGATTTGATCCAGGGGCAAAAAGATCTCTAGACAAAAGATTACTGAACAGGTTAAGATACTGTAAAGATGATAGGCACTGTACTTTGCTGAGATGAGCAGGAGTAATGTGCCAGCACCAAAAATCCTGGATAGTTACTCTGAGTCAGGTGCTACTGTATTTGAATTCATTTCAAGCTACAGGTTTCCCCCTTTCATTAGACAACTTGTCCCAGTAGTACAAATGTGAAGTTCAGTCCTTCTCCAGCTTGACAGGATTTGAACCCAGAAATGATGCAGCTCAGAGTCCAAACTGTCAAACTATGTGGGAAGCTGGGTGAGATTTTCCATTTCTCCTCCTGTAACAGAAGCAGGGGCATGCTACCCTGAATGCAAAGAGTAGGCAGGAAGAAGCCACTATATATCCTAAATTACTAAAGTACTTAACTGTGAGGGAGGGTTGAGGTCTTAGTTGCTTGGGGTTTCCTTGAGTTTATTTATATTAATCCTGTGATTTCATACTCTGACTGTATAAGCATTCCCAGAGGTTTGCATTACAGTCTGAGGTTGTGCTCAAAGTAATCCAAGGTAATGGTGGTTGTCTTGCATTGGCTCATATTGGACTTGTATGTCTTGTGCAATGTATGTAGTATATGTGCAATTACCTGGGGACCCTAATTTATGAACTCCTTTCCATTACTCTTTCCTGGGTTTTTTGTCTGCTTGTTACAAGGAATTTATATCTTAGTGGTCTTTTGAATGGTGTGAAATCTTGAAACAACACTTCTGTTTCTAATTCATGGTTAGTCAGAAGTAGATTGTCAGTCAAGGGAGACAGTTTTCTTAACGAAATACTTGGGATATTGTTTTCTTAATCTTAACTGTTTGGGGTTCCCTCATTATTTCAAGTGTTGGGGCACTTAAAGACAAGTATAGTGCGTGAAATTAGTGTAATTAGGCAAAATAAATAGTACATTGCTAATTTTATGCTGAAAATTGGAGCTGCAATGGATAGCAGCTGACAAGCTTTTAAAGTAGCAGAAGCAGGGAACAGCAGATGGGTTATTTGAGGAGTGCAAGCATGTTATTTTAATGTTAAGTACACTCAGAAAGGAAAGACATATGGTAACAGGTTTGAAGACAACTGAAGACTAAGTTCGCAGTTTAAACATTTACATTTCTTGAA